GCAGTGTCATACTGTACATTTGTATGTCAGTGAATGTCATGTTGTTGTCATTACCGATGTATGGCAGTGTCATACTGTACATTTGTATGTTAGTGAATATCATGTTGTTGTCATTACCAATGAAGGTCAGTGTCATACTGTACATTTAATGTTAGTGAATGTCATGTTGTTGTCATTACCAATGTAGGACAGTATCATACTGTATATTTGTATGTTAGTGAATGTCATGTTATTGTCATAACCAATGTAGGTCAGTGTCATACTGTACATTTAATGTTAGTGAATGTCATGTTGTTGTCATTACCAATGTAAATCAGTGTCATACTGTACATTTGTATGTTAGTGAATGTCATGTTATTGTCATTATCAATGTAGGTCAGTGTCATACCGTACATTTAATGTTAGTGAATGTCATGTTATTGTCACTACCAATGTAGGGCAGTATCATACTGTACATTTGTATGTTAGTGAATGTCATGTTATTGTCATTACCAATGTAGGGCAGTGTCATACTGTACATTTAATGCTGGTGAATGTCATGCTGTTGTCATTACCAATGTAGGGCAGTATCATACTGTACATTTGTATGTTAGTGAATCTCATGTTGTTGTCTTTTCCAATGTAGGTCAGTGTCATACTGTACATTTGTATGTTAGTGAATGTCATGCTGTTGTCATTACCAATGTAGGTCAGTGTCATACTGTATATTTGTTTGTTAGAGAATGTCATGTTGTTGTCATTACCAATGTATGGCAGTGTCATACTGTATATTTGTATGTTAGTGAATGTCATGTTATTGTCATTACCAATGTAGGGCAGTGTCATACTGTACATTTAATGCTAGTGAATGTCATGCTGTTGTCATTACCAATGTAGGGCAGTATCATACTGTATATTTGTATGTTAGTGAATGTCATGTTATTGTCATTACCAATGTAGGGCAGTGTCATACTGTATATTTGTATGTTAGTGAATGTCATGTTGTTGTCATTACCAATGTATGGCAGTGTCATACTGTACATTTTAATGTTAGAGAATGTCATGCTGTTGTCATTACCAATGTAAATCAGTGTCATACTGTACATTTGTATGTTAGTGAATGTCATGCTGTTGTCATTACCAATGTAGGGCAGTGTCATACTGTATATTTGTATGTTAGTGAATGTCATGCTGTTGTCATTACCAATGTAGGGCAGTGTCATACTGTATATTTGTATGTTAGTGAATGTCATGTTGTTGTCATTACCAATGTATGGCAGTGTCATACTTTACATTTAATGTTAGTGAATGTCATGCTGTTGTCATTACCAAGGTAAGTCAGTGTCATACTGCACATTTGTATGTCAGTGAATGCCATGTTGTTGTCATTACCGATGTATGGCAGTGTCATACTGTACATTTAATGTTAGTGAATGTCATGTTGTTGTCATTACCGATGTATGGCAGTGTCATGCTGTACATTTAATGCTAGTGAATGTCATGTTGTTGTCATTACCGATGTATGGCAGTGTCATACTGTACATTTAATGCTAGTGAATGTCATGTTGTTGTCATTACCGATGTATAGCAGTGTCATACTGGTATGTATATGTGCACTGGTAAGTAAGAGTACGTAGGATGGTGTGATACAAAGGCACGTTAATTTTCCTCATCAATTACATTAGCATTTGTGTCCGCGTGTGTAATTGATTACTTAGAAATCCATAATGCCCAATTAATAGAGCGGCATTTACCTGTTAGATCCTGTAGTTACTTATATATACTTCACAAATACGGAACACTTGGCTATGTAAATATATATCATCAAGCTCCACTTCTCAAACACGTTAAACTCAACTTTATCTCAACTCACATACTAAATTTGATTTTATATTTAAGCAAATTAAATTGCCTAAATACATTAAGTGAAATCGATTTATTTGAGCACAATTTCTTTGGAGAGCTATCATACATACCAAGGTTATAGTTTAATCAGTGTGTAGGTAGTGTGTATGGTTGTATATTCATTACAACAATATCTACCTGGTTGTATATATTTGTAATAACAATATCTACCTGCTTGTATATATTTGTTATAACAATATCTACCTGCTTGTATATATTTGTTATAACAATATCTACCTGCTTGTATATATTTGTTATAACAATATCTACCTGCTTGTATATATTTGTTATAACAATATCTACCTGCTTGTATATATTTGTTATAACAATATCTACCTGCTTGTATATATTTGTTATAACAATATATGCCTGGTTGTATATTAGTTATAACAATATCTTCCTGGTTGTATATGTTTGTTATAACAATATCTGCCTCGTTGTATATATTTGTTATAACAATATCTACCTGGTTGTATATATTTGTTATAACAATATCTACCTGCTTGTATATGTTTGTTATAACAATATATGCCTGGTTGTATATTAGTTATAACAATATCTTCCTGGTTGTATATGTTTGTTATAACAATATCTGCCTCGTTGTATATATTTGTTATAACAATATCTACCTGGTTGTATATATTTGTTATAACAATATCTTCCTGGTTGTATATGTTTGTTATAACAATATCTGCCTGGTTGTATATATTTGTTATAACAATATCTACCTGGTTGTATATATTTGTTATAACAATATCTACCTGCTTGTATATTTTGTTATAACAATATATGCCTGGTTGTATATTTGTTATAACAATATCTACCTGCTTGTATATTAGATATAACAATATCTACCTGCTTGTATATATTTGTTATAACAATATCTACCTGCTTTTATGTATTTGTTATAACAATATCTACCTGCTTGTATATATTAGAAATAACAATATCTACCTGCTTTTATGTATTTGTTACAGCAATATCTACCTGGTTGAATATATTTGTTATATCAATATCTACCTGCTTGTATATATTAGATATAACAATATCTACCTGCTTGTATGTATTTGTTATATCAATATCTACCTGCTTGTATATATTAGATATAACAATATCTACCTGCTTGTATATATTTGTTATAACGATATCTGCCTGGTTGAATATATTTGTTATATCAATATCTACCTGCTTGTAAATATTTGTTATAACAATATCTGCCTGGTTGAATATATTTGTTATATCAATATCTACCTGCTTGTATGTATTTGTTATATCAATATCTACCTGCTTGTATATATTTGTTACAGCAATATCTACCTGGTTGAATATATTTGTTATAACAATATCTACCTGCTTTTATGTATTTGTTATATCAATATCTACCTGCTTGTATATATTTGTTACAGCAATATATGCCTGGTTGAATATATTTGTTATATCAATATCTACCTGCTTGTATTTATTTGGTACAGCAATATCTGCCTGGTTGAATATATTTGTTATATCAATATCTACCTGCTTGTATTTATTTGGTACAGCAATATCTGCCTGGTTGAATATATTTGTTATATCAATATCTACCTGCTTGTATTTATTTGGTACAGCAATATCTGCCTGGTTGAATATATTTGTTATATCAATATCTACCTGCTTGTAAATATTTGTTATAACAATATCTGCCTGGTTGAATATATTTGTTATATCAATATCTACCTGCTTGTATTTATTTGGTACAGCAATATCTGCCTGGTTGAATATATTTGTTATATCAATATCTACCTGCTTGTAAATATTTGTTATAACAATATCTGCCTGGTTGAATATATTTGTTATATCAATATCTACCTGCTTGTATATATTAGATATAACAATATCTACCTGCTTGTATGTATTTGTTATATCAATATCTACCTGCTTGTATATATTTGTTACAGCAATATCTACCTGGTTGAATATATTTGTTATATCAATATCTACCTGCTTGTATTTATTTGGTACAGCAATATCTGCCTGGTTGAATATATTTGTTATATCAATATCTACCTGCTTGTATATATTAGATATAACAATATCTACCTGATTGTATGTATTTGTTATAACAATATCTACCTGGTTGTATATATTTGTTATAACAATATCTACCTGCTTTTATGTATTTGTTACAGCAATATCTACCTGGTTGAATATATTTGTTATATCAATATCTACCTGCTTGTATATTAGTTATAACAATATCTGCCTAGTTATATATTTGTTACAGTAATATCTGCCCGGCTGCTATAGTTTGTCCCTTTCCTACAATATATGTCACTATAACAATACTTTCTGCATCTTACCTTCATTTATGTTACTTGAGTGATCCATGATAGTATTTATGTATTCAACATTTAATTATCATTATATAACTGCCTTGGATATATATATCACTAATCCGTACTAGACTAGAGAGGACTAGAGTTTGACCAACATAGACAATATATATGCCGTAACTTACAAATATACGTTATGAATTATAAGCTCCCAATTCTTACCTACTACATCACGTAACCTGTGGACATGACTTCAAGCTTAATGACCTGTACTCTTTTAGCATCATGTTTAAGATTACACTTGCTGACCGTTGTCTCTCTGATGTCGTTTTCATCGTTCGTTGTACATTACTTACCTAAACAAACCCGATCGTTTTTCGAACGTTATTTAAGCACCTTACTATGGGGATATTAGTGTAAATTGACATTCGCGTGGCTATAAATCAGCGGCCATACTTAGTACAACATATCTGGTAAAACGTTAAACGACCCCCTGTTGGACCTCTCTCTCTCGTTATCACAATTACGTATGTCTGGTCACACGACTATTGTAAAACCCAGCTTTTTGGCGTCCGAACAAAACATTCTAGTTAGTAGCTAGTCGATAGGGGGTTTAGGCCGGCAAGTCCAGTCTTAAGATACTCGCCCCGTTATAGGTTGTGTATGACAAAATCCAGGCTGTGCATCATCTCCTGTAGATTATGATCGATGACGATGGTCACAGGCCCAGTGATTGAGTTTGAGGCGGTGGCCAAGAGTTCCAGTATGTGGGTCTTAGAGTTAACTAAACATTTTGTTTTCATACAGCAACCTTATGGTAAAAAGAAGCCTTTCTTCTGGAAACCTCCTCAAAAATCTGAACAGATGGTCCCTGTCAGTGACACTTCTCACTATGTAGGTATTCGTACTACTGCAGTTGATTTGCACGTGACTTACGGAAGACGATGTTTACTTAATCATGTACCTCCACAATATTCTGTAACGACATGTTCCGTACCGACCTTAACCGATTCAGAGACGTATATCTGACCGATCATCAAGCGTAACTTTTTCTTCAAAATCTCAAATTGTCGATCTCTGCGGTATGGACACATGCGTTACTCGATAATGTGAGGGGTTATGACCTTAGGGGCTAGAGAATGTGGTACAACAGGTTTTTTGATCCAGTGCTGAGACCGGTGTGTCAGTGGTTGGTTTGGTAGAATTGATCTGTTGGTTGGTGTTGCTGGTGGGGTTGGGGTGGTGGTGGTTGGTTTGGTAGAATTGATCTGTTGGTTGGTGTTGCTGGTGGTGTTGGGGTGGTGGTGGTTGGTTTGGTTCCATTTTGTGATGATTACTTCGGTAGCGTTGTTTATAGAATACAAGTAAAAGTACTTACGATGGCATTACTTGCAGAAAGTAAGTCTGCATGCGAAAAGGGTAATGTGACACGTTTTAATTATGTTACTAACAAACAACGGGGATATTTCATTTCTTATAGGTAAATATATTTTTATAATCTGTTTATTAATATTCAAGTTAACTAGAGACCTGAAGCTGCTTGCTATATCCTTGATGTTCGAGCTAGCGTTTATGAAATACGTACAGAGCGACAAATTACGTTTACTATGTCCGCGCCAAAGTTCATATTGAGCGATAAATGGTGTAAGGCTGATTTTAAGTGAAAAATATCTGAAGAGTCATAATTAAATTTCATTCTTTAATCTCCAACGTTTTGTTTTGTTGTTGATTTACTTTCTCATTTTTTAAGTATTATCGAACCACGCCATTTCTCAAAAGTGCCTCCGTCAGATCGCTTTTCTCTTTGATACTTCATAACCAGGTCCCCTTAGTCCGCTATTGTGAACTGTGCATTGCTATGCGTTATTTTTATTAAGATTGGTAAAATGATTTCTCATCAGCACTGTCCTAAAACGATATAATTTCAACCAAATTCGGTATACACGTACAAGATAGCAAGTCTCAAGCTATAGTAAGCTAGGTTCGATCTCCGATATAATTGCTTCATGCATATATACGCATAATTGATAAGGGTTATCATTTCTAATTGGTTATATGGTTCTCCTGCAAAACTCCCCGAAATGTTCCGATTTCAACCAGACCGGGTAAGCACACATGGCAAGTCTCAAGCTAAGTTTCATGGAACTATAATGCGTGCACAGATTCGCATAGATAATGATGATATCGAATTCTTATTGGCGGATGGCTTATTCGGATTCTTAATCAATAAAAAGTGTCGTTTTATTGTCGACGTTGTAGTATTACGCTTACTCTACGTGACTTCGACATTCTGATTGGTTGATTACTTCCGTTCCTTAACCCCAAGCAAAAAATAGATTGCGCCCAAGTATGTAGATCCATATCCATATATGCAAGGATGTAAACATTAAGAATTTGCTTGTTTAATGTAAACCGGAGAAAATGAGATGTTCTTGTTACACTAAATGTAGTTGTTCCTCGTTGCCGTGTTGACTGATTATTGTTATGCTGTTTCCGTTCCAGCCTATGGTAGGAAAGATCCACCTCACACCAACAGCCCACACGGAGATCAGGTCAAAGTCAGTGATGTCGCGAAATGTGGGATACTTCACGAATGCTCGGATGTCCCCGGATTCTATCCGGACGGCCCAGACAGCACCAGAAGGGATCGTGTACCCCAATATCATCAATGAAACAGACTATGATGACATCACTGTCCTACCCCCACCCAAAAAGATCCTTCCGCGCCGGGAAGTGCCCTGGGTGTTTAGATATAAAGTTAAACGAAATATGAACGAATTAGCCAAGATTCTAGCGAGTAAAGCCCCACAACCTGTGGTGGACCAGGCTTCGTGAAATTTGGAGCCAGCAACGCGGGTTGGACCAGGTCTCGTGGAAACTGGTTCTAGTCCGACCACCAATATGAGGCCAATGGCTCCTTTGTTGTGATATTATTGTACTGATCTGTTCATTATGGATTATCGAGATCTAGAGATTAAAGGTAGCGGGTTTTTTTTTTATCAATAAATAAGCATTGTGACGAAAAGCTTATTCATCGATATACGTGCGAGCGAACCACACAACCGTTGCCCAAGGTTTCATTGTATATATATATACACAAGGCTCATCTGCAATACTCGGAACAATAGACACATACGCATGTACACATATATATATTTTTGTTACACGTTTTGTAAGTAAACTATCAACTGGAATTAACCATTTTATAATACCGATTTATATGACTTTATCCTGTAGTATCTACTCCGTGTGTACGGTACGGAAATCAGCTCGGCATTTAGTCAGAATGTCAGGTCTGTTTTGTTAGATAAAGCTGTTTGTACGTGCCAGGTCGCCAGACAACATTACACCCGTCACTGAACTATACCCTCAAACAACTTCAATAACAGGGATTAAAATTATTCACAGTGTGTCCTGTCTCGCCTCCTAACCCTGAATGAAATCTGGAAACGTATTGACATCATCGTGTGCCCAAGACATAGCACTTTGAAGCATTAGTATAAAAAGCTGCATATGAAAGCCAACTTTAAATGCAATGTAAACACACGTATACATACCAATTGTATTTACTTTGTAAACCCAATGAGTATAATGGAAAATAACCCCTGTGTTATGTGGTAATAGTATCTGTGATCAACAAGGATTTCTCGTTAAACAGTTTTTACTCGAGTGGCTGTGAATGTGACGATCTAACTCGAACTATTGACATTTTTTCATATCTGTAGTAAGTTATAAGAATGCATTAAAACATAATCACACACATGTTAGTTGTTAATGGTTTGTATTTAGGTATTTCATTGCGTTTATTTTAAATAGCTGACAAGTATACGACTGGCCAAAAGAAACTATTGGGGTTATGTCCGAGTTGGGTCGACGACCCATTCTACGTTCTGAAGATACCAAAGAACCCCGGGAACCAAACATACTGTAGGGCTGCCGGGAACCAATCATACTGTAGGGCTGCCGAGAACCATACTGTAGGGCTGCCGAGAACCAAACATACTGTAGGGCTGCCGAGAACCTAACATACTGTAGGGCTGCCGAGAACCATACTGTAGGGCTGCCGAGAACCAAACATACTGTAGGGCTGCCAGGAACCAAACATACTGTTGAGCTGCCGAGAACCAAACATACGGTAGGGCTGCCGGGAACCAATCATACTGTTGAGCTGCCGGGAACCAAACATTCTGTAGTGCTGCCGGGAACCAAACATACGGTAGGGCTGCCGAGAACCATACTGTAGGGCTGCCGGGCACCAAACATACTATAGGGCTGCCGAGAACCACCCATACTGTAGGGCTGCCGGGAACACACATACTGTAGAGCTGCCGGGAACCAGTCATACTGTAGGGCTGCCGAGACCCAAACATACTTTAGGGCTGCCGAGAACCAAACGTACTGTAGGGCTGCCGGGAACCAACCATACTGTAGGCCTGCCGCGAACCAAACATACTGTAGGGCTTCCGAGAACCAAACATACTGTAAGGCTGCCGGGAACCAAACATACTGTTGAGCTGCCGAGAACCAAACATCCTGTAGGGCTCCCGAGAACCAAACATACTGTAGAGCGGCCGAGAACCAAACATACTGTAGGACTGCCGGGAACCAAACATTCTGTAGGGCTGCCGGGAACCAAACACACTGTAAGGCTGCCGGAAACCAAACATACTGTAAGGCTGCCGGGAACCAATCATACCGTAGGGCTGCCGAGAACCAAACGTACTGTAGGGCTGCCGGGAACAAACATCCTGTAGGGCTGCCGAGAACCTAACATAATGTAGGGCTGCCGAGAACCAACCATACTGTTGAGCTGCCGAGAACCAAACATACTTTAGGGCTGCCGAGAACCAAACGTACTGTAGGGCTGCCGGGAACAAACATACTGTAGAGCTGCCTGGAACCAAACATACTGTAGGGCTGCCGAGATCCAAACATACTGTAGGGCTGCTGGGAACCAAACATACTGTAGGGCTTCCGAGAACCAAACATACTGTAAGGCTGCCGGGAACCAAACATACTATAGGGCTGCCGGGAACCAAACATCCGGTAGGGCTGCCGAGAACCAAAAATACTGTAGAGCTGCCGAGAACCAAACATCCTGTAGGGCTGCCGGGAACAAACATACTGCAGAGCTGCCGAGAACCAAACATCCTGTAGGGCTGCCGGGCACCACACATACTATAGGGCTGCCGGGAACCAAACATACGGTAGGGCTGCCGAGAACCAAACATACTGTAGGGCTGCCGGGCACCAAACATACTATAGGGCTGCCGGAAACCAAACATACTGTTGTTGGGCTGCCGGGAACCAAACATACGGTAGGGCTGCCGAGAACCAAACATACTGTAGGGCTGCCGGGAACCAAACATACTGTAGGGCTGCTGGGAACCAAACATACTGTAGGGCTGCTGGGAACCATACATACTGTAGGGCGCATGTGAATCCTACAAACAGTCTATAGAACCCTAATCAAAATGTATTGCTATAGAAATCATGATCCACCCCAGTGTCTGAAAATTTCAACCGTTCAGGTCCTAGTTAGCGTAAGTGACCACTACCCTGTGTATGCCATAAAAAGGTTGGTATACAAAACATCGACAGGTATCAACACCATTAGTTACAGATGTACAAAAAACTTTGATGAAAATGTTTTCAATAATAATCTAAATTCAGCCCACTGGGACATCCCTAATATAACAACAACAGGGGATGTAAATGATGCGGTCGAGTCGTGGAATAAAACTTTCACAGATATTTTAAACGAAAATGCGCCGTTTAAAGAAAAGCGGGTCAAACACAAAACAATTCCTGAGTGGTGGAATGAAGACATCTCCACAGCAATCAAAATTAGAGACAATCATAAACAGGATTCTAACTTTGAACTCTATAAAAAATGGAGAAATCGTGTAACAGCTTTAGTGAAAAAAGCGAAAAGTGAATTTTATAAAAATGTTCTAGATGCATGCAAAAAAGAACCAAACAAGTATTGGAAATACTTTAAACAACTGGTTCCAAACAAACCTGATGAAAAACCAAATTTTATTATTGCTGACGGTAAACAAATAGACGAAACGGAAGAAATTGCAAATAATTTTAATAATTTCTTTACAAATATTGTAAAGGAATATATCTCTGAAACTGTTTCAGATTCTCCGACAATATGTCTTAAAGAAACTCAAGCATTTGTCTCTCAAACACTCCCTGCAAACACAGTCTATGATATTCCAGAAATACCACTTGCTTTTGTGAACAAATTCCTGAAAAATCTTGACTGTAGCAAAGCTACAGGCCTTGATGGAATTTCTGCAAAATACCTTAGGCTGTCCGCAGAGGTTGTGTCTGAGTCAATTACCAAATTATTAAACATATGTATTGCAAAGAATGTTTTCCCAGACCAATTTAAGCATGCTAAAGTCAATCCAATTTTTAAGAAAGGCGAAAAGAGCTCTGTAAGTAATTACAGACCCATATCTATTCTTCCAATTTTATCCAAACTCTTAGAAAAACATGTGCAGACTACCTTTTATAAGTTTTTAAACCAACATAATCTAATCATTGAGAATCAATCAGGATTTCGAAATATGCATTCATGTCAAACTGCTCTTACTGCACTTACAAATAGATGGTATGATGAATTGGACAAGGGAAACCTCATCGGTGTAATGTATATTGATTTTCGTAAGGCTTTTGACCTTGTTGACCATAAGATACTACTCCAGAAAATGAGTATATATGGATGCTCTGAAAATTCCATTATGTTTTTTACCTCATACCTTTCAAACAGATTTCAGAAAGTATCTTTCAAAAGTTCTTTAAGTGATGCCTGTGAAATTACAACTGGTGTACCTCAAGGTTCCATAATTGGGCCTTTGATGTTTTTATTATATGTCAATGATCTGCCACTCTGCTCAAAACATTGTGAACTTTTTATGTATGCAGATGATACTTCAATGCAAAAAGCAGACACAAATTTGGATGTTATCGAATCATGTCTACAAACGGATTTTAATCATGTAAAGAAATGGTGTGATGTCAACAAAATGGTCATAAATACTGATAAAACCAAAGTAATGTTAATTGGAAGTAAGAAAAAAAAACAGAGACTAAAGAAAAATCTAAATATTATAGCTGAAAATTCAAACTTGGAAGTTGTACAAAATGAAAAACTGTTAGGCGTTCGTATTGATGACACCCTAACTTGGGAAAAACATGTACAAGACGTCCTAAAGAAACTTAATTATAAAATTTATCAACTATGTAGAATAAAGAAATTCTTACCAGTATCGGCAAGAATCACTTTCCACAACTGTTTTATACTACCATATATTGACTTTTGCTCGAACGTTTGGGGACATTGCTCTCAAAAACTGGTACACAAACTTGAAAGAATTCAAAAACGAGCACTGCGGATTATACTAGATGCCGACTATACTGTTCCCGGTGCACAGCTGTTTGTAAAACTAAAATGGCTGCCTTTTACGTACAGAGTTGAATATAACGAATGTGTTCTGATGTTTAAAGTAATAAACAAGCTATGTCCAAATTACCTAGACTGCAATACTCTTGTGAGCAATGTCCATACTATCCAAACCAGGTCAGCTGCGGCAGGTAGATATGTTGTACCCAAACACAAAACGGAAAAATTCAAAAGCTCTTTTAAATATAATGGACCGACACTCTGGAACAATTTGCCAACCACTGTCTCTAAATGCCAATCACTAAACAGTTTTAAGTTCGAGTGCAAAAAACATCTCAATGTAATCTATAAAGACAAGTGTAAAGAAAATTAAAAATCTGCACCCCCTTTCCCTCCTGAAATATCTATCTGCTGTAGTACCTGGAATATGACACACGTGTATCTAAATGAAGTTTTAGAATTGAATCTGAATTACTATTCCTAATGCCCTAATCAACACTTTGGAATTAACTCACGCTACATTAGCGTATATTCTGTAATTTTTTACCCTTTGTCACAATGACATGTATGTATATTAGACGCATTATGCGTTTCTTAAATCTTCTAAAATGCAGCATGAGAATTTATGCATTGCATGATATTTAGCCAACTTTTTATTTTCCAATACACGTGTGACATATTTTATTGTAAGCCTGTGTGATATCACATACCAATATATCTGTGATATGTATTACGTAGTTTTGTTATTGGTTTTTGTTTTTGGTTTTAATGATAATACAATGTTTTATTACCTGTGATATGTTACTTAATTTCTTATGTATGTACGTGTATGTCATATCCATGTTGTAAATATTGTACATTTTATGTCGACCACATGTGAGACGAGTCATTGACTCAATGTGTTATCGAATTTAAATAAAGTCTATTATTATTATTATTATTATAGTTACAAAAAGAGTTCTTAAAACTTAAACAAGAGAACCCAGAGGGATCTTGGCGCCCACTATTGTACCATCTTCATTAGTTCTTTGTCAGTTCGAACTTTTCTCTTCTTTCCTCGAATCTGTTTGATCGAGTCATGTTAACAGTAAATGCACCTTGAGGTAACTTTTGATCTAAACTTTGTACTGATGTGTATGAAAGCCAACCGTCAAAGTGAGTTTGTCATTTCACATATATACTAGTACAGTACTTAATGTGAAATCATTGCATCACGAGAAAGATCTGTTTAGTTCTTCCTTTAGTCATTTTGTTTTTATGATCAGTCTCAAAATATAACATGCACAACGAGGGATCAAGGGGAACCTACATATAAAATTTTGAGAAAGATCCCTCAAGTTATTCCTGAGAAATAGTACTAACAAACCTTCAATGTCAAAAATCGAAGATGGCTGTCGGTAGGCCATGTTGTTTAACTGATCAGTTTCAAAAGTAAACATGAACAATAAAGGATAGTGGGGAACCTGCATATAGAATTTTAGAAAGAACCCTTAACTGTCAAAATCAATATTTTTTTTATTCGACCAGTCTCATAAGAAATTATGCATAACTTCATACCAAGGGGAACCTACATAAAAAAAAAATAAGAAAGATCTCTAGTATTTCATTGAGTAATAGCCATAACAAACCTTCACTGTCAAAATCCAATATACACAATTAAGGACCTAGGGGAACTTACATTTAAGATGTGAGAAAGATCTCTCCCGTACTTCCTGAGAAATAGCCATAACAATGTCACAATCCAAGATGGTGGCCTGTCGGCCATTTTCTACATCTGATCAGTCTAAAAATTAACCACGCACAACGACAGACCAAGGGAAGCCTACATATAAAATTTGAGATGGATATCTCCAGTACTCCGATAACAAACCTTCAATGTCAAAATTCAAGATGGCTGCCTGTCGGCCATGTTGTTTATCCGATCAGTCTCAAAAGTTGCCTTGCACAAGTAAGGACCAAGGGGAACCTACATATAAAATTTGAGAAAGATTCCTCCGGTACTTCCTGAGAAATAGCGATAACAAAAACCTTCACTATCAAAATCCAGGATGGCTGCCTGTCGGCCATGTTGATTATCCGATCAGTCTCAAAAAAGTTGCCCTGCACAAATAGGGACCAAGGGGACCCTACATATCAAATTTGAGAAAGATCCCTCTGGTACTTCTGGAGAAATTCCGATAACAAGAATTGTTCAATGACGGACCACAGACGCAGGGTGATTTGAATAGCCCACCGTGTAATGCATAGAAAACGGTGGAACGTGAACCAATTGCTAACATACTCCCACGCCGTTCCTTTTTAACTCCCAACCATATACAAATTTAATATATCTTCTAAGATAATGATAAATCTCCTCTCTTCCGACTAGGATTTCATTATTTAAATCAGATTTATCCCCTGGTGTTTTTACCGGACGGTATTATGGTACTTGGAGAAATCAGTCGAGCCCCAACCCCATGTTTCTACTGCAGTTTACAGAGATACTTTCTATTTTGTTTAGAATGATGGAGCACACGCATGTCACGTCAGATACTGTGTTATGGAGCACACGCGTGTCACGTCAGATATTGTGTTATGGAGCACACGCATGTCACGTCAGATATTGTGTTATGGAGCACACGCATGTCACGTCAGTAATTGTGTTATGGATAAATTCCATACCTTGTCAAATTAGTCACAGTCAAATTACATTGAAAAACAACAAAAGCAGGCTAGATTATGGTAACCAAAGTTTTATTGAGTACCACCTTGAAAACATTTGTTGCAGTGACTGATAACCCTTCACACTATACCGTTCTAGTGATATATACACCGTTACCTTCCAACGTCTTCTTGGGTTCAGGATAAAGCATGACAATATTTGACGACAAAGAACAATGACAAAAAACAATTGTTATCATACACATACTCCGCCAGGTGTAGCTTGTTACAAATTAAGAGTTGTATGTGGCACCACGGAGGTGATGTAGTGAATGTTTTAGTTCAAACCAATAAGATACCATGTGTTAATAACCACTTCAAATTCTAGACCAAGAAATCATCAAAACGTAAGTACTGTGTAGTGCTCAACTTGACTGAACAAAATAAAAAATGATACATTTGTTACTACTTACGAATATTTAATTAATTTGTCTCCATTCTCAATACTCATGCTCAAAGTCAAACTCATATATTTTATCAATGTTCTGGATAAATTTTGGAGAGACTTTCGGCCGACGACCGTTTTAGATGTTTAAACTCGACTTCCATACTACTGTGCGACATTAAATTTCATCCAGTTACAAGAAAGTTGGTTTGAGCACAGAATCCATGCTTGAACACAAGAATGGTTTGATAAATACGGCCCCAGGGGTTGCGCTCATTTCGCTCCCTGCACCCCTGGAATACGTCATAGCAAAATTGAAGGCACACAGCTTGCTATTTGATTGGCCTCCTAAGCCTTCAATTTTGACATATTCCAGGGATGCAAAGAGCGGAATCCCTGGAGTATCAAGCAGGTTTGTCTCCAACTATAACAGAAATTCACACTTTATAGAAGAAAAAGAACAACAAAACAATGTCCCTGTTACGAATTTGTTACCGTGAAAAGGAAACTACCTTTGCAGAGATTTTGTAACAAAGTTAATAGTTTTGAGAAAAATATAAACTATCCGAAAAATAAGAAGTACAAAAATAATATAAAAATGAACCTAAAAGTGAAAATATACTCAAGTATTCAAGAGTTATGTCCCTCTCCAGTATTAAAATTTCACGGAACAAAAACAAGTTTTGAGATATCTAATTTTCTATGATAAAAATGACAGCAAATTATATAATTTTACCATTAAATGACTTGGTAATAAAAAATGTATCATCCAATTATCTTGCTCCGACAAATATGACTTTATCCAACATTTTCTGAATTATCTTGTTCGGACAGTATGTGGTTTTAATCCAAAATTGTTGTAAATCAGTTAAAAATCAGTCCCCATACAACTAATAACATAATCTTACAAATGTAATCAGTTCCCTTACCACTGATTACATAATCTTACAAATGTAATCAGATCCCTTACCACTAATTACATAATCTTACAACTGTAATCAGTTCCCTTACCACTAATTACATAATCTTACAACTGTAATCAGTTCCCTTACCACTAATTACATAATCTTACAACTGTAATCAGTTCCCTTACCACTAATTACATAATCTTACAAATTTAATCAGTTCCCTTACCACTAATTACATAATCTTACAAATGTAATCAGTTCCCTTACCACTAATTACATAATCTTACAAATGCATTAAATAAAGAAATGCCATTTCAATTGAGCAAAACACAAGATAATGCGATACCTGAAATATATCTGCTGTGAAGTCATGTAAACAACATGCAGTATAAAACATTCACAAATCAACATACTGGAAAAAAAGTTTTATTCTTTCACTTCATCTATAAAAAGTGGTTTTGTTCATTTTTTCATTCATTATTTTCATGATTTTCTTCTCTTTTTAAAAATTTGCAATGAACACATTGTATACAATATAAACATATATATAACGAACCTTCAATTGTGTAGGCATTCAATCTGAAATAAGAAATATAACACATGTATATGCCAGTATGTTTTCTCTCTTATCTAAAATGGTTATATGGAACATATTATCACAGATACAGCAATTCTCCTTGACACATGCACACTCTCATACACATTCAAAGTCATCAAGCACTAAACTTGTCTCACTGAAATAAAGACAACCTATTCACTTCAATCTTCCTGGTAATTTAGAATCAAACGAGTCACATAAAGCAAGCTTTATAGAAAGCAGTAACATGTTCCTAACTGAAAATAAGTTTGTTTTTTATATGAAACTAGTAATTCATTTCGCCCAGAGCTGAAAAATAAAAAAAGAATTTGTCCAAATATTCAACACTTCAGTTCCAAATCTTCTGCTGAAAAAAATGGATTCAAAAGTTTGAAGTTCAACTACTCTGTTAGTCTGTATTGCAGGACTGGGGCACAGAATAAAGATTGTTTACAGAGTTCCTCTTCCTCTGACACCGAGTTCAGTACACCATGTTAAAACGACACTGCTCAGTTTACACACATATGTCCAAATCTTCACTTTAAAGGTGTACACTCACTTGTTCAGGATTCTTCTCATAATTTGAATGGTTAAGTTTACTTATTGATTAAAAAAAAATCTCTTCACACTTGTTCCTTGGAGAACCAGTTTTTGTAATTGGAGGAAAGTCTGCTCCTTAGACTTAGAATAAATAATGTTTCTAACCAAAGGAAACCTCATCTTTGAAGATCATGCTTTGGTTGGAGAAAACCTGATCCTTGGAGAAGAAAATGTTCATGAGTATTAAGACAAAAACAGCAACATATAAATTTACACATACATGACCAAGATGGATGAGATTCATAGAACAGGCTGCAAGGTTGACATCAAGGAATGAATACTGGCCAACATCAGCAGCTATCGGGCTAGCCACATAAACCTCCCAAACTACCAACAACTTATGTATGGAAGATAGATGTGACCATCTGTAGACTTTCTCACCTTCCTCTTCCATTATCTGGATGGTGCCATCAAAATGCTGGGTATTAATATTAACTTTCGACTTAACTTCTTGGTTGGAAATTTGGCAAATATAGGAGACTTCATCTGCATCCTTGTCATAGCTGGTAAATTACAAATTTCTCTTGCAAAAATAACTCAGGATTACATAAGGCACTGCTTACAAAGTCTTAAAGTTGTAACTTCTTGTTGACGCGATAATGGATAATAGGTAGGGGGGCAAATGAAGAAAAAACAACCTCTTTTCAACTTGGAAACATCACTGCTGTTGCACGTTCTATGGATGATGAAAATAATTCGATTTGAAACCTGAAATAATCATTTGATTTGAGTGGAAGACGAAATCCTTTAAGTCCTTGAAATACTTGCTGTCTTCGAAATTACATAAACGGCTGCGATTGAATTTACTTCCATTCCCGTCATCACAACCCGATCGAGCTCCACATTAAAACAGGACTTTTTTCTTTCTTATTTATGCAAGTCTTTGAAATATGGATCTTCTTCTCATGAAATAGAAAATTTAACTTCATCTTGAATATTTCTTCATTGCAATGCGTATGCCTGCCATAGGAAAACTTTAAAAAAAATTACAACTATTGACTTGAACTGGACAGTGCCACATGATTTACTACGAAGTCCTTGCCTTGGATTTCCGGTTTAATATTTAGACTAGAACTGATATCTATAAAAATGGTAACCCCCGCCTTTCGCAGATATGATGTAAGGACCTGCCTTCATAATTTTAAAGTCTATAGGGCCTGAATGGCTGTTGCACATGTTTTACAGTCCACTCTGGTTCCATCAGGAGTCAAGACTGCCCCTTTTTCCTTCAAGAACACTATACAATCCTCCATGTTTGGGAAGCCTAATTCAGCCAGGATGAAATCTACGGACAGCATTGGGCGATATCTACACATGATCATACAAATTTGTAGTAAGGCGCACATGTGTAGAATTGGTCGAATGGTCATGGGACAAAATGAAAAAGAAGAGAAAAGAAAAAATGTTAAGACATAAAAATACACTCAAATTAAATGACATCCATTACCTTTTCAATATTTGAAAAATCTTACCTGTAATGCAATGCTCAAAATGTTTTGTATAGTGACATTAGCTTTTAAAATCAAACGTTTCTTCATATAATACAGAGTGTACCAGCTGATCAAATATACTTACCATACTTACCCAAAACATCCCAGCTTCATCTTGGGCATCGACAAAACACAATTAATGTTCAAAATAGGGAGTATTTACAAGAGACAATTTTCAATGAATTTATCTGAATAATTCTTCTATAATTTCCAAAAAAAACAACAACAATCTCCTAGAAAGATGAAATGACAACTTATCCATTTAACTGTACTTTAAAAATAAACATACCACAGAAACTTGCATTAAAATTTATATTGCTCAACTTTATTCAAAGATATATTTTAATAAAATTTATCAAAAAATACTGGTTAAATATATCACCTTTTTAGAAATACCCCTTTGCAGGTCCAAAATCATAGACTTATTTACACCGAACAGGGGTAAACAATTTAGTTTTATGCAGCAGAATTGGAACATATAAGAAGAGGAAAACATTGTTACGTACGACTTCACAATTGTCTTCAGTGCTGTTTTCCTTGCTCTGTCAGCAAACCAGTCCAACAGATAACCAGACATTCTTGGTGCATGATTTGACAATTTGAAAAATTTGTGAAAATTATTCAGGGCCCAAGCAGACCTTACTTTTAATGCAAATGACACACACTCATCTTGCCTGCAAGTTGAGGAAAGAGATGCCAAGGCAGTTGTCATATCTTCACAAGGTCAAGGACAAATCATTATTCATCTGTAGCAAGTTTTTAACAAAAGAAAGAATGCAACATGTAATCTATTCTGATTTTTAACAGGCATTACATTTATTTGTCATAACCTAATATAATGAATGTGAAAAAAGTTAATCAATAATTTTTCTCAAATCTTGTTTGAAGAAATCTAAATTTCTGACCCATGTTAAAGAACAAGATCAACCTAATATATCTATAGGAAGTGAACAGAGCTGACATTATCCCCCGTCTTATACATAGTACAAGGGGCAGCTGCGAATTGCTTGTTTTGTAACTGGTTTATGCAAAAAACATAATCCAAGAATTACAGTCAGGGGTTTCAATAGGATTTCCAAGTTACATGTATCCAACACAAAGTAGGCAGTTAATTTCAGTATATTTCATAGTATCTCAATACCACTTTAAAAAAAAAAATCATCATGAAAGTGGCATCCTCCCCAGTTATCATGTCTTATTACATGTTTGAGTCAAGATGATGTATTAGTGGTATTAACAAAGGTACAATAGAGTGTATAAATAATGACTGGATGTTTCTACATATTTTTACTGTGATCTTGACCTATAAACTTCACAAATGTCAATACACTGGTGGTGACTGACAAAGGATACCAAGCGTGTTGGATGTGAAGATGTAGTATAGAATCCTGTAGGCAAGGAATTCCAGTTGGTTTCCATGTAGACCTTCCTGATACAGCAGCTTCAGCTGGGTCTGGCATTGGTTAAACTCCTCATGATCGCCCTACAATCACAGTTTACGATATTACATCTTCTCTTCTCTAATTGAGTCTTATAAAATTTCATTAGATCTACAGGAAATGTCAGCAAGACTACAAAATTATCATACATGTTTATTGACTGCACAACAATTCCAATACAAGAACATTATACAAGACTTCATTGTTTGTAAAACTGCTCCTTTACTGGAAATTGTGTAAAATGTAAAGTCTATCCATACTAACGGAGCCAAATGTAAAGTCTATCCATACTAACGGTGCCAAATGTAAAGTTTATCCATACTAACGGAGCCAAATGTAAAGTCTATCCATACTAACGGAGCCAAATGTAAAGTCTATCCATACTAACGAAGCCAAATGCAAAGTCGAAACAAAGTCATTGAAGCAGGAAGTATAGGTCAAAGTGACCTTCATGTCCCATGATGGTGTAGACCTTCTTGAGTATCTGTATAAAGTTTGACTGGGAATTGTAGTATCAGAGAAATGTAGCTAAATACAAACCTAAACAAAATGACTTCCGCCAATAGTGTATATATTAAGTTAAAGGAGTTTAACAGGAAAGGTATTTAATTTCAATATGATATTGTCAATTAATAAGTTATTATTCAACTCGTATTAGAATATTTTTTTTTTTTTTAAATATTTTTTGAGGAAAAGAAAGTTTGACACATGGAGCCTTTTTGTATATTAGTGATGAGTTGCTAACATACTGTAACAATAAACTCTCCTAAAATACACATACCTTCTCTAGTGCCACTCGGGCATGTGTCTCATAAACCTCCACGGTGAAGTTGCTCCGAATACCCTGCACCTAAAAGTAAAAAGAAAAAACCCACTCATATCCTGTAAACATGCTTACACAAGTATTCTAGACCAGTTTCCTCACATGGTAGCAAAATCAGAGCTCAGTATATATTTCCCCCAAGCTACACTAAAGAGACCCATCCTAGGTTTGGGTAAGAAATACGGAGTAACTTTACCTATATAATATTCTTTTCATAGATGTGACCTTGAAAGTAGATCGATGTAACAGAAGAAATCTGAAACTTTCCACCCTAGCCAGCTACAGGACATCATGATCCTTAGATCAATGTAGCTTAACAGAAGAAATCTGAAACTTTCCACCCTAGCCAGCTACAGGACATCACGGTCCTTAGATCAATGTAGCTTAACAGAAAAAATCTGATACTTCCCACCCTAGCCAGCTACAGGACATCATGATCCTTAGATCAATGTAACTTAACAGAAGAAATCTGAAACTTCCCACCCTAGCCAGCTACAGGACATCATGGTCCTTAGATCAATGTAACAGAAAAAATCTGATTATTCCCACCCTAGCCAGCTACAGAACATCATGGTCCTTAGATCAATGTAACTAAACAGAAGAAATCTGAACCTTCTCACCCTAGCCAGCCACAGAACATCATGGTCCTTAGATCAATGCAACAGAAGAAAGCCGATACTTCCCACCCTAGCCAGCTACAGAACATCATGGTCCTTAGATCAATGTAACTTAACAGAAGAAATTTGAAACTTCCCACCCTAGCCAGCTACAGGACATCATGTTCTTTAACCTTGAAGTTCTGCCACTTAAAGTTGATCAATTATAAATAGCCTGTTGAAACGTTTACACGCGATAATTATTAACTCGTACATATGGCGAGAAAATTGCCAGTTCTATACTGAGAGATGGAAGGTTGTTTACGCTAGTTTTAATAATATTTTGTTTGTTTTGGGTGTAACATCCTCCCTATAGCTAAGGTCATACGAAGACAGGGTATTGTTAGGCCATACGAAGACAGGGTATTGTTAGACCATACGAAGACAGGGTATTGTTAGGCCATATGAAGACAGGGTATTGTTAGGCCATATGAAGACAGGGTATTGTTTTTAGAAATAAGAACATTGTGTTAGTCATTGAATGTATTAACACATCTGGAAATTTTCAGCATAGAACTGGATCAATATCTTACAAGTGATTTTACAATTTAAAAGCCTTTTACCTGAGAAAGCTACAGAAAAATATCACAACTCTAAAACTGGCAGTTCTGTTGAAGACATTGTATAAAGATGATCCCTGTGATCTTTAAAGTTACATAACTTATTTGGACAAAATGAATTAACACATTGAAGTAAAGATTAAATAACATGAATAACATAAACCCTTTCAGTAAACTGGTATTTCATTGTTTTGGTACCAAGGTCAGGAAGACACTAAAAATGTTATTTCAAATGAGGGTTACATGGGAAAGTGGCCATAACATGGCTAAACAAAATACTGCTGTCTATATACTGATCTTATACTTACTGTAAGATCCTGTCGTATGGATTTAAATTGTTCACACACAAAATGGTATTTATTCTTCTTTTCCCAGCATTCCTTTACATGATCTAAAGACTTCCTCAAAACTTCTAATGGGCGAATTTGACTAGCATCTGGTGCCTGCAATGGTGTAATGTTCAAATATCATTACAATTATAACAAATATTTCATCAATTTTCAGCATTGAAAACAAAAAAACAGACAAATCAGACGATTTATTTCAATACTAAAACAACCCTTGAAAATGTTAACAGGGTTTTACCCTCTGGGCTATTCAAGTGAAGAAAACCTACCCGAAAACAGGATTCAAAAATAATTAATCTCTCTCCATGGTCGTAATCCCTAACGCAAATATAGGTCCTTGGGTAGGCTTGATAATTTACTTGACTAAAAGAGGAACAACTTACACTTGTGAGTCGTAGATATGGTTTTTCGATGTCCTGACAAGTTCCAACCACATCAAAACTGGACAGATCTAAATCCTCTTCATCTGAATTCTAGACACAACAAAAGGTACAAATTTAATGAAAAATTGAAGAAACTAGAACACTGACAGGTCAGTAAGAGTCTCATCTTGTGGCAATATATCCCCCATTATCACCAAGAAGCAATCTGCCCATATAGCTGAGCTCGACGCTTGACATTTGGACTTCAAAAAGAATTGCAAGAAAGCAAAATAAACATTTTACGTGTACTTTGATGCGAGTCTTGTTTCCTTCCACCTCCATATTTGCTGGGCTAACAGAAATGTAAATACCGGTGCAATACTCATTTGTTAGCCTTGATTTGTTTTATTTCACCTTAAATGCCTCCTTCATCAAGAGCCAGGGTCAAAGTCAGAGATCCACTTTGTTTTTGACCTTTGTACCCAAATGACCTTGACCTTTAAACCAGTGACCCTGATCTTTGATCAGTTGACTTATTCTTTAATTCCGACCAACTTTGCTTCATAATATCATAACAAAATGTTCATCAGTGAAAAATACAAAACTTGACCTTGACCCTTAGGACCCCGTAAAGACACCTTGTTTAATTCCGACCAACATTGCTTTAGAGTGTCATAACAAAATGTTCACCAGTGAAAATCTAGAAAATTTGACTTTGACCTTTGACCCAGTGACCGTGACCTTAAGTCAGTTGACTCATTCTTAAATTCCAACCAACTTTGCTTCATAATGTCATAGCAAAATGTTCATCAGGGAAAATCTACAAAATTTGACCTTGAACTGTGAACCTAATGACTTTGACCTTTGACCTCAGTGTCTCTTTGCTTAATTCTGACCAACTTTGCTTCATGATGTCATAAAATGTTCATTAGTGAAAAGCTACAAAATTTAACTTTGACCTTGACCTCGACTTTTTACCTCAGTGTGTATTTTTGTGAACTGAACATCTTGACCCAGTTTCATGTAAATCGGTCAATAAATACCGAAGTTATCAGCCAGGAACAAAATTTGTGGATGGACGGACAGACAGACGGACAGAGGGATTACTATAGGGCACCCGTGTCTCCGATACAGGGCCCTAATTATGTAGTTTATAAATGGAGCCATAATGCAAGTCTGGTAAAATAAAGTTATTTCTCCTACCACCTAAAAGGATGGTTTAGATTTTTCATGTAAAGTGTGACTTGAGTAAACATTATCAAATGACTTACTGTGTATGTATTTATTGTAAGTGTTCGATTCTGTTTTTGCTTTTTTGCCTCATTTCCCAAGTGGTGTTCAAATCTTGCTGCTCTCTTCATGAGCTTAGCTTCTTTCTCAGGATCATCATCCATAGGAAAATTACTACAAATGAAAGAAATATGAACATCCATTATTAACAAGAAAATGTATTCAATTCTGTGGCAACTTACACAAACTATTAATTTAAATGATATTGAGAGTGTGATAAAAATATGTTGACACTGAATTAGCACATGACAGGATATAAACATAGGTAACAGTACCCCTTCCCAAATAGTGGCAAAACAAAAACTACAATGGGCAACGTCAGGACGTATCCACTTCATTGGCTATCCAGAAATCATAAATGCACAGCTTCAAAATGAAAGATAAGACCCTTCATTAAGTCTGATAAATATTTGTGTTGCTTCATCTTTTATATATAAGTGAGAACACTCCAAGCTGGGCTGTGTTTCATTATTATAACTGGTGTAACCCTTCTTTCTCATGTCTTACGTTTTTGGTCTTTTCTTGTTGTTCTTTTTGTTAAAAGCCACCTCACTGCTGAATTTTTTACTGTTGGTTCCCTTGCCCTTTCCATGCACATCAAGACTATATTTCCTCGCTCCTCTTCCCCGTCCCCGGAAGCCGCTTCTCCTCTGGTCTTTGGGTTGGTGGTAAGGACCATCAGAGAAACTAGAGCCACTGTCTGAACTGTTAATAACAATTGTATTAGTTATTTCAAGGTTCAATGTTATTTCAGTTGATGTCTTCACCTATGTCACTTGGACCAGGTTATCTAAAATGGATTGATGGAGGACAGAAGGCACATCACAGATTAAGTTTACATGGCTTGTCAACTATATGAACTAAATAAAAGCTTTATAAGCCAATATTGTCGATAATTCAGGATTTTGTAAGCAGATGTATTTGACATGCCTGTTAAATATTTACGATGAAAGTGTAAGCAGATTTTCTCTCTCATTTTTATACATACTAAACTAAACTAATGTTTAAATTATGTGTCATCAGTCTAAATAAAGCACTAGTAGTGACAACTGTGACATTGGTTACCTGGTGTGCCTCTGCCGCCTCCTGCGTTGAGAGGGTGATGGAGAATGAGACCTTGACTTTGAACGCCTTCTACGATGTACAGGAGACCTTGAGCGTGACCGTGAGGAGCTTGAGCTTGAAGTGGAATATGACCTTGACCTGTAGGTGGGTACTCTGTCCCGGTTGTAAACACCTCTACCAGTAGCAGATGCCTTGTTGGACGACATCTGAGCACCACGTCCACGTCCTCTTCCGCGACCACGGCCTCGACTGTTATTAGGCTGCCAGGGACTGTTTTTTGCCATGTGACTGTTATTTGGAACTTGTTTAACTGGAGTGTGTTGCTGCATACTATATCAAGAAATGAAATGACTGTGATTAACAAGTTTGTATAGGCCATGAATGAGCCTCCAGCTTGTCATCTCAAATGATTTATATATCAGCACCTGGGTATTTCTAAATTCATTTACCAATGATGATTGATAGAAATCTGTGATATGCTGCAAACAGTTAGCCTTAGATTAGGATATGTGTACAGTAGAATCTACATGTCTAACAAACTGCTCTTTCAGCACTTTAGAACCAAAAATGATTGGGCATCATTTAAAATAATATCTTTTTTGGAAATTATTTTGCAGAACTTAATGGATTGTCTTGCAACATTCCTTGAATAAAAGCTGATATCATTTATTAAATTCATTTTTACATTAGTCAAGTAAGAAGTTAAGGCCCACATGAAGCCACCAATCTTAACATCTCTTCTTACTGTTGTACACGTTCTGTAGGCAGCGGTTCTTTAGACCAATCTATGGTGAAAACAGCGCCTGATTTGAAAATGTTTGTAAGACTGTCTTTCAGGAAGGTTTGTATAGAATCCTTTTGGCTTTCATCTTTAGCACTAGCAAATGCCCTCTGGACATACTGTCTGTAAGAAGAATGTAATAAAAACTGTTTTAGTTGTTTTATTCCTTAACCCAGCATTACAAAGTGAAACTAATACATGATTTCACAACTGTTCTAAACAAATATTACTTTTCTTATGATAAAGTCTTGCTATTTTCAATTTAACATTCAAGATTGAGTAACTTGCCGACAGATCTCGACTTGTCCGTGTCTTTGGTAACAGCTACTTTTACGGTATACATGTACCAGTGTCTTTAAAACAGGTCTGAGGGGTTTTACTCCAGAACATCTCAAATGTAAACAGACAACTGACAAACCTGAGAGCTGGAGGCCATTCTTGGTGGGCAGCTTCTGAAATATTTGCATCCCCACTGTCAGCAGAGCTAATTCCATTACTACAAATAAGGAAGGAGTGTATTTGATTGTAGACTTAGAGGAAATGAATGAAAAACATTGTTTATTTTGTATTGAAAAACAACTGAAGAGTATAAAAGCAAACATAACAATTTTTCCTTCTTAAGTTTTTTTCATTTCCTCACACCTTCAAGATGTTTCTTTTTCAAATTGACTTTTCATTGTTTTTATCACTAATCTTGAAAGAATAATTGTAATACTACATGTCAGTGCATCTCTTCCCTACTATTAGCATAAAAAACATATTTATGCCAGTAGACCTCCATCAAAGAATGCTACTCTAGCAGAAATGTAACTGGCTGTGTTCATTTTACTTTAAAATTTGATTAATATACTGGTTTTGGTGGGAGTGTAACTGCCCTCTTGTTAGTTTATTTATATATTTTTTCCATGAAAGAAGTGAAACAAACCAAGTTATCTCGGTCTACTTACTCTGATGGACTGTTAGATGGTGGTTGCATTTGTTGTTCGTTTGATATAGTTTCATGACGCTCAGGCTTCTGTCTTTGGTCTAGCAGTTTGCCTGGGCGGGGACCACGAGGGGGGAAATGTCTGGGATTTAAATTTTGTTGATAATTGCTGTTGTTACCTCCTTGTTGTCTTTTTGGGATCTGAAATCGTATGCCCTGGACACCACCTGGGTCTGAATTAGGGATAGAAATTAATTGGCAAAGAATTTGGTAGCTACATCTGCAAAAGAATGATGAATAGAACAAGAGATCCAAGAGGAATCTTGTCACCTATCATTATAACATCTTCATCATCTCAATTACATTGGACCTTTTGAAATGTCCTTTCAAGGTTAGACAATCTTTTGACCTATTCACTAAAATCATAATGTGTAAAAATATTTCTGCTTTCTGACAGACAATTCTTTTTCTTCTGATTAGGCGACTTCAGTGCTCGAACTTCATGGCAGACCCATCGACAATCTCTTGTGAAAAACACTATTTTCTGTGGGAATCATTGATTTTATAGACCAAAATGTCTATGAAGTTACTTTCTGTGATGTGCATGATTCAGCGATAGGTATGGCAGTGAGAGAAAAATTAATTACAGTTTTTTTCCTTTATTACTAAAAATTATTTTCTGTATTCATGTTATCGAACACTAAATATTAAGTATCATTTTCTTGGTCAAAGTCTGGCCTATCAAAATTTCAGTAGGTTTATAAGAAATCTAAATTCCAGACCTAATTGTCTATGGTGTGTAGATCCTAAATTCTGAGACTGACTTGAAGTTCAAAACAAAATATGCAAAACTAGAGACAAAGAGGAATAAGGGAAATCCACATATAAAATTTCAGAAAGATCCGTTATTTAAGTACTTCTTCAGAAAAAGTAATAACAGAAATCAACTGCCAACATAAAGATGGCTATCTTGCAGCTATTTTGTTTTTCTGATCACTCTCATAATGAAACATGCACAAATATGGGGAACGATCCATTCACCACTTACTCAGAAAAAATGATTACCTAATTGTAAACATACGAAGGACGAATTGAACATGATGTAGTGGGCTAAAAATCGGACAAGTGTATATACACTTTTGATTAGATTGAAATGAATACAACTTGGTTCTCTTATTATGATTCTACAGCAAGCATAAAGTTACCTTAAATTTTAACAGGAATACCAAAAAAACCCACCAAAAGTGAAAAATATTTATTTATATCAGACACAATTTGACCATTCAACTTACGCCTTGGCCTGTTCTGAAATCTTGGTCCACGAGGCCCATGATTTGGTACTTGTCTGGGCTGAAACTGTGGCTGCATACTTTGGTTTTGACTTTGATTAGCATTATGTATGGGTCTGTCATCAGTATCCATGTTATTTGGTGATGGACTTTGACTGTCCTCAGATGGTGGTGGAGGAGGCGGGGCACCATATCCATTGAAATTTCCATGCTGGTTAAAAAAGACAACTGAAAATAAGTTATGTTCAGCTACATGTTTTGTTTTAATTTTGATTGGATCAATCTACGTTAGTCTATCAATTTAATTTGTAAACATATCATTGACTCTCTCTCTCTATATATATTTTATCATTGAAATGAAAGTTTTGTAATTATGTTATAGTCAATCAATGGCATTAATTTTAAAGTATGCCAACTAAAATTCTGTACATTTTGTATTGTATAAAGTATTGTATCATGACCATAAATCATAACGTAATGTTAGTATGACAATACACCTCTACTGACAGGTCAACAGACTCTGTCTGACACATGCTTGACCATACCCTCTTCCCCAGTCTTTTTTTTTTTAGTAACAGTGACTTTGACCTTAGAAATTTTCAAACCCACTTTGCAAATCAAGATATCACAGTGTACCACCATTTCAAATTTCAACAACATTAATCTTTCAGATTCTGAGACAATCTCCTGAAACAAAAGTGCTGACAGAGAGAAAATAACTTGAGACTTTGGATTCATACACACCTCTTTCCATGCACAAATTTTGATGTCATGCATCACTCTGTCATTACATATGAAACAATGCAACTAAATCTTTGAGAACTTTTACAGAAATACAAATTAAGTTACCATCCTTGGACCTGGTCCTTGTTGCTGGCTATAAACTGGATAGTTTGTTCCTGGATAAAACCTGTGTAGAGAGAAAAATAATGATTGTTCATGTCTTGTTGCAAACTTTTTTTAAAAATTACATCAGAATTATCTACGTACAAATGTTTTAATAAAAGTATTCAATTCTTACTGTGGTTGTGGTGTTTGTTGTTGTTGGTAGTACAAGTTGTACTGCTGGTAATACAACTGTGCAGCTGGATTCTGAGTGTTATCGCTTGGTTGTTCAGTTGAACTTTGGGATTTATTTGGAGATGTGCTAGAACCAGTTTCCCCTTGAACTTTTTCTAATGCCTTTCTTGCCTTCTCCCATTCAGGATTCTGGAAGACATTGCTGTGTCCTGTTCCATTCTCTGATGGAGGCTGGCTTCCCCTACAGAATATGATTACAAGTCTTTCATTCATTCTGAAAAAAATCCTATAAATGTACCAATTATATACAAAATCATACAATTTTTTATGAAAGTTTCTCACTTACTACCACTTTACAATCATATCAATGACATTTTTATGGTACAGGAAACAATTTCCTTAACTTTTAATATCCAAAAGAGAAGATAACTGAAGATAAATATTTTTCCTAGCTTCAACAACAGGTTGGATCAACAGTTACTGTTTACAGTAACAATTTTATGACTGGGGAATAAAGTGAAATTAAAAACACATGAATTTATATCAAACATTATATTAAGAACAAAAAAGGATGTCATTCTTTAAACATCATCCACTATATACAATGACTTACATTTGTGCACCAAAAAATAATGATTCTTATGTCCAAATTCTGTTCAACTTAACTTATCATTTACTAATGTACTGTGTATCTATACATTTCAGGTATCAGTCATCCTTATAATTAAAGATATAAAACTAGGAATATGTTGACTCTCATTTACAACTGACTAACTATACCACTGATTTTGTTCTCCAATGACTACAAATAGTCCTTGGGATCATTCAGTGCAAATGGGACAGGTGAGCACTTATTGATGTATACTCTTCATAGCTACTCTACACAAAACTAAAAGCAATGGAGGTGATACAGTTTGTGCTCTTCACAAAAAGTCAGACACCTGAAATGAATTTTTGTGCACAATTTGTGCATTATGTTGAAAGAATGCATATGATGCCCTTTAACAGGTCCAGTACACTATGCTAATTAATATTGATCTATATAGCTGTAAAGACCTATAATAGCTGTATTGACCTATCCAAAATTAGTCTTTAGAGCCATTTTCATGTGATTTTCTTTTTAAGGAAAAAGAAACAGTCGCTGTTAAAAGCAGATTTTATCGTAAGGTTGATAACAAAAGACATTAAATATATATTTTTTTTATGCGACTTTGCTTTAATTTAACGAAAATTTAAATCTCAATACAGCTATAATTTATAGGTCAATATAGCTATATAGGTCTTTACAGCTATGTAGATCAAACAGCACAGTATACTGGACCTGCTTAAGGTTTTAAAAGGAGCTAATGCATTTGCATTTCACTTTCTGCTATATTCTTACATCACTGAACCATGGCTTCAGAACAGGTTATTCTTGTGAGACACAACTAGCAGTAACTATCGATGACTTAGCTTGGAATTTTGACAACAACTTACAAACAGATATTGATACCTTGGACTTCTAGACAGGTTTTGATACCGTACCACATTATACACAAGCTCGAAGCTTATGGCATACGAGGCAACTTGAACCAGTGGATTAAGTCTTTCCTATGCTACAGGAAAATGTGTGTAGTGGTGGAAGGCCATAACTCTAGTGATGTTCATGTTGCATCGGGGGTACCCCAAGGCACAGTGCTGGGGCCCCTTTTGTTTCGATTCTTTGCCATATAAATGACTTGCCTGAATCAGTGTCATCACAAGTCTGTCTTTTTTGCATTGACTGAACTACGCTATACTTAAAGAAGTCGAAAACAATCAGTACTTGGGCCTCTCCATATCAAACAATTTGAAATGGACCAAACCACATAAACAATATACGCAATAAAGCATCTTCTACAGCTGGAGTCATTAGACAAAACCTTAAACATATCTAAATGTCAACGTACAGCATATGTATCTCTGGTTCGATCGACACTTGATTATGGAGCGATTATCTGGGATCCATATCTAGTCAGATAAATATAAATACAGCGGAAGGCTGCTCGTTTTATCAGTGGTTATTACAAATCCCGGGACTGTGGCTGTGTTACTCGAATGCTCAAGGACGTTGGAAGCAACTCCGATTGACATTCATGTTCAAGGTGGTTGAGGGGATGTGATGCCAGCCATACCATCCTCCACTTGTTTCGAGCCAGTACAAAATAAACGCAGAATCCGTGCCACACGTTATAGTGACTTTGAAACTACAAACATCGTATCATCACATAAACTGAACAATAAAAGCTTTAACACAAAACGATGCAATACTAACATCTATAGAAAGTAATTCTTTGTGAGGACAGTACACAATTGGAACCATCTAGACAATTCAACAGTTAGTGCTACTTCAGTAGAGGCTGTCAGAGCCAGCCTCTCGCTGACTAATTACATGCGCTCTACCCCGTTGACCATATGCCAGTAGTGGATCTTGTCAACGTATTTTGATACAGATCATTACGAGGACCGGGGTTTTCCACGTATATATATGGAAACACTAATTTAGAAGTTAGAATGTTAAAAGAAAATGTTCCTATAACATGCAAGGAGGACGTTTTGTCCTTGTAAATAAAAATACCACTAAAACGAGATGCCTAACCTACTCAGTCGTATAACCCCTATAGAAATATCGTTGCTGCATTACAATCATAACGGCATGATCGGAAAAGGCTTTCTTGTCCGGGTCAAGCGAGCCTATAGCTAGCTATAGCCATCATGAGCTACTTGGCTAACGTACAGAAATTTATCTATGGCTTCCAACTTATGAAATAAAAATAACAGACGTAAACCAGCCCAACTACGATCATAACAAAAAGGTGAGTGAAGTGAAGTGATCGGTCTTCTGCTCATTATAAATAGTCGGCCATCTTGCTTTCATCATTAACCACTCTTTGAAGCATAACGTTCATCAGTTTCCGAGTGATAATAGCTATTTCAATAAAAAAAATAGATATAGAATTTACCAAGCCCCTGCTTGTATGGCCTGTTGTGCTGTAAAAGCTGCAGCAGCCATCGTTCTGCTTGTCTTTACAGTGGGTATGACCAATGTGTTGCCTTCTTCCCAAGTGAACACTTTCTGACGTCATGAACAAGTCGATGATTTGAAGGTACTATATTTTCTAGATTGAATAAAAAGCGGAACGCATTCGTTTACACTAAAATTGTCATTTAGTCATACAATATTGATATTTTGTTATTGTTTTGGTGTGAATATGGTAACTTATGTTAAGGTCACACTCTTTTTTTTTAATTCCACAGCCTGAGACATCACCTCTGTATTGAGGAGGGCAGAGTGTGTGTGTGTACGTCTCTGCTTTATACTTATAGTTAACATATTATTCTAGTCACCCTATGATAAACCTCAAACTAATTGCAACATAACTTATTTCTGGTTTTTCATACAGGTTGGTTTATATAATACTCAGTGAATGAATGAAGTCAGGTTGATGAATACCTCACCTCGTGCAAATTTGACTAAACCGTTAAAAATGGCTAAGTCCATGATTTTGGACAACAGAAATGTGAATATTTTTGTGTGTGTTTTATCTGATTGCTAAATCTTTTGGCAGGAATTACCACCATAACATGTTCCTCTTGATTAAGGGGAAGTAAGGTTAAATTTGTATCTTATTATTTTAACAGGTCATATTTTTCTTTCACACAATAGAACAGAATGGGGGGATAACTAATTTTCAATAAAATGATGAATTTGTATGAATGTTTAACTTCAAATTTATCTCACAAAAACATTCGTTTTATTATTGCTTTAGTTGCAAAATCATTTGTAAATCGGACAAAACTGGAGCACAAAATATAGATTTTCGTTGTTCAGAATCATGGACTTTTTTCAGTGTTGAGGCAAAATTGCATGAGATGAAGTTTTCACCATCAGAGCTTGGACACATTTGTACACTTATCTTACCAAAATAACCATTTCCAATTAGTTTTGCACACATACAAATGGGTATAAAATGCTTGTAAGCATTTGCTTGTCCTTTTTCAAATGACATGTTACAGAAATAGGTAAATTGTTTATTTTGGACATAAGTTAACACCAAATCGGCACATTTGGTCAAATTAGATGGTTGATATTCTTTTTGTATGTGAATGTACCATTTTTCGTGCATTAATATTAGATAAAATGTGATGTGTTAAGAAGCTAGATATAGACTCATCAGGTCACTGAGATTAAGTAATTAGTATTTTCTGCATTTAAATAGAAAACAGAAGCCAATATTGTCAAGCTCAAAATGCTTTTAAGTCATTTTCACAGTTCACTAATTTTTCAATGCAATACCTCTGCTGTAACATTTTGGTAAATCTGTACTGTATTTCAGTTGATCTTGCTATACGGTTAATCTTATATATCCAGTATTGTAAAAGAGGTAGATATTACACTTCAAAAGTGGTCAGATATGTGATTTTCCTTATTTTCTTGATCCTATAGAAGGTCAAAAAATGATTTTACCAAAGTTTGATTCCAGGAGACTTTTTTTCCTGTTATGATACTGATAACTACCATTCCAAAAAACAAAAAAATAATTTCTGTTGCAATTAGTTTGAGGTTTGGGCTGATTTAGCGTAGGGTGACTAGACTATATGGAGAGATTGGTAACAACCCCAAATCATCATACTATTTGACGCAAGATCGATGGACAAACAACCGAAATAGAGAAAGTAGCCACAGCAAAGGACCTTGGAGTTCACTTTGACAACACCCTGAAATTCTCAACCCAAGTCAATGCGGCAGTGTCCAAAGCTAACCAAATGTTAGGTATACTGTTTCGAACTTTCATTTTTATGGATATAGCTCTTTTTACAAGTCAACCCTGTTAGTGTACAAGTCCCTTATCCGTCCACATCTGGAATACGCTACGCAAGAGTGGTCACCGTATCTAAACAAGGAGAAAATAGCTATCGAAAATGTCCAACGAAGAGCCACTAAAAGAGTACTAGAAATACAGGCTATGCCCTACCATGAACGCCTAAGAACACTAGGTCTACCATCTCTGGAATACAGGCGTGAGAGGGCAGATGTTGTTGAGCTGTACAAAATATTGAACGGGATCGACAAGTTAGACTACGGACTGATGTTTCGTCCTACACCACTTAGTATCACTAGAGGTCACTCAAAAAAATATTCCAGAAACCTTTTGGTTCCAACAAATTTTATTGTATTTACAAAAGGATTAGACAACAGGCAGTGCCTATATAAGTCTTCTCCTGAACCGGTACAACATATATACATTTACACAGAATAATAAGATATATTTACAAAATTATTGATAATTAATTACTTATTGAAATAGATGGACATTTGTATGGAAAATATGTATATATGTTTGAATTAATGATATGTGTTTAAACTACACACACTAATACCACGGAATTAGATTATTATCTAAGTCCGTGCTAATACCAAGGCTCACTCATCTACCAGTGGCGTAGATGTCTAGGTCACTTTCGATGTTATATATAGTATAAGTACAAGTACTGCGCCAATGGTAACATACATACTTCTAAACACACACGCACACACACACACACACATAATCGGAGCAGATTGATATAACGGGAAGTATTTCATAAAAATATACTTATCATATTCGAGTTAGATGAATCTATAAGTTAAATCACGGAATTAGATTAGATTAGATTGTTATCTAAGTCCGTGGTTAATCAATAAATTTCTCAACTTTAGATAATATATAATTATTAGTTTCTGGTGAAAGCTCATTATCTCCTGATGTAAGTAATTTCAGACTAATAAATCATACTACAATATATATTTCATAAAAATCCAGTCTGAAATCAGAATAATTTGGGCAGAAAAAGAAAAAATGATCAGCATCTTCACGCGGTGCTCCACAAGAACAACTGCCATCTTGAATAAGGTGGTTAGTAAATGTATCATAGTTTAAGGCCCTTGCTTTGTGCCTGATTTGACAGAGTATAATATTAAGATTCCTAGGATTGCACTGTTTAAAGATCAGGGAAATATTATCTTCTTGATTGTTATAATAGTTTTTATTTGAACGAAGTAAGGGAATTAGCAGATGTTATAGAAGAATCTAATTAGTTCCATAAGGTCATTGTATCAGGAAAGAAACTAGTGTTGCAGATATGAGTTCGAGCTTGAGGTACATTAAAGAATCTAGTATGTCTCAATCCATATGGGTTATTAGCATTATTAATAAAAGGTACAATAATATTTTAAAGATAGTCAGGTGTTAAACGGTTTATTATCTTATACATTAGAATTAATTTATGTTTATGACGTCTTAAATTTAAAGTTTCCATATTTACCTCAATGTATAGTTTACGATGAGATGTCCCACTTCTTAACCCCGATATAATTTTCATAGCTTCAATTTGAACAGATTCAAGCATACTAGATTCTCCAATGGTACAGTTATTCCAGATAATATCACCATACTCAAGCACAGGTCTTATATAAGAATAAAATAACGTTTCCAATGATTTTCTATCGATTTTATATTTAAGCATTCTCAATATATTTAGTCTCAGGCTTAACACTAGTAAGAATGTCTTTGGTAACCGAGTGATCAAGGTCTGGAACAGTCTACCTGAGGAAACTGTGTCATCAAAAACACTTAATGAGTTCAAGTCGACTTAAACACACCGTGGAGGAATCACCCCAGGAAGTTCTGCCCTTCCTTAAGCTAATAAGGTCATTGTATAGTAGTGTTAAATGTTGTGTTAAGCATAATGGTTCATTATCCAATTATTTCAATTGTAAAAATGGATTGTTTCAAGGTGAAATTTTATCGCCATTACTGTCTACATTATATGTTAATGATTGCGAAATGCAATTTTTAATTGACAACTGTCAGTCGATAGAAATTCAAACACTGAATTTGTTCCTTTTGATGTACGCAGACGATATGGTGATTTTTTCCGAAACGCCAGAGGGTCTGCAAGATATGTTAAACTCTTTAGAATCGTACACAAAAAAA